AACACTGGGGTACATACTAGTGGGGACAGGTCTGTCACTGTGTAACAGTGCATTGTACTGGTGGGTATGGGTCTGTCTCTACAGTTCAGTGGATAATGAATGGGCTGATGGTGAATAATGAAATGTGTATCTTCGTCAGTTTGATACCTGCAGCTTGTAGTTCAGTTTTGTTTTCTGAAAGTTAATATTGGTTAACACTGGTGCTTTCCCTCACCATCGACTTGTTACTTCTCCTGTAGTTGCTGCCTGCTGTCATTTTGGTGAAGCTATAATGTCGATGCTGTCGAATTACGCACGGCGTATGATGCGCCTGAGCTCACAGATCTTTCACGAGGTTGTGCGACCCACTGATGAGCGTTCGATGAAGGTGGTGAAGCTGTTCAGCGAGCAGCCTCTAGCCCTGCAGAAACAGGTCTATGACTGGTACCCTGCGCACAATCAGTACTATGCTCTCATGAAGAAGCTGCGATTGTTCGGTTTGTACAGGTAATCACACTCCCTCTGAGTTACTTTCTCGATTAAGTTCTACCCACTCATGGATGGTTACAGTGCTGTGCTTGGTATCTTGCAGCAGATGTTAGTGGCTAGCACTGCTGCCTCACAGCGCCAGGGACCCAGGTTCAATTCCACCATCAGGCAAGTGTTCGTGTGCATGGCCTTCGTCCGAGTGCTCAGGCTTCCTCCCACAGTCCAAAGGTGTGTGGGTTAGGTGGACTGGTCATGCTAAATTGCGCATAGTACCCAGGGATGTGCAGGTTAGGTGGATTAGCCATTGGAAATGGAGGGTTACAAAGATAGGGTGGGAGCTGGGCTGTTCTTTGGACAGTTGGTGTAACTCGATGGGCCAAATGGCCTGCTTCCACACTGTAGGGATTAGAGTCACAGTCATACAGCACGGAAACAAACCCTTTGGTCCAACCAGTCCACGTCGAACATAATCCCAAACTAAACTAGTCCCACTGCCTGCTCCTGGCCCATATCCCTCCAAACCTTTCCTATTCATGTTGTAATTGTACCCCACATCCACCACTTCCTCATGAAGTTCATTCCACATAGAACATAGAACATTGAACATTACAGCACAGTACAGGCCCTTCGGCCCTCGATGTTGCACCGACCTGTGAAAACCAATCTGAAGCCCATCTAACCTAAACTATTCCATTATCATCCATATGTTTATCCAATGACCATTTAAATGCCCTTAAAGTGGGCGAGTCTACTATTTTTGCAGGCAAAAATGGCATGTAAACCACCCTCTGTAAAAAAATTTGTCTCTCACGTGTATGAAATCTCTCTCCTCTCACCTTAAAAATTTACCCCTAGTCTTGAAATCATCGATCTTAGGGAAAAGACAATTACCATTAACTCTATCTATACCTCTCATTATTTTATAAACTTCTATAAGGTCACCTCTCAACCTCCTACGCTCCAATGAAAAGGTCCCAGCCTTTATTAATAATCAAGCCTTCCATACCCAGAAACGTTGTGGTAAATCTCTTCTGAACCATCCCAAGCTTAATGATATCCTTCCTATAACTGGGCGACCAGAACTGGACACAGAATTCCAGAAGAGGCCTCAACAATGTCCTGTACAACCTCAACATGACGTCCCAACTCCTATACTTTAAAGGACTGAGCAATGAAGGCAAGTGTGCCAAAAGACTTTTAAACCACCATGTCTATATATGACGCAAACTTCAAAAAATTACGTACCTGCACCCTTAGGTCCCTCTGTTCTACAACACTACCCAAGGCCCTACCATTAATTGTATAAGACCTATCCTTGTATGTTGTACCAAAATGCAGTACCTTGCATTTGTCCAGATTGAACTCCATCTGCCACTTTCAGCCCGTTGACCCATTTGATCAAGATCCCTTTGTAATCTTAGAAAACCATCATTGTCGACTATGCCACCAACTTACTAACCATGCCTTCTATATTCTCATCCAAATCACTTATATACATGACAAACAAAAGAGGATCCAGAACTGATCTCTATGGAACACTGTTGGTCACAGGCCTCCAGTCTGAAAAGCAACCCTCCACTATTACTTTCTGCTTCCTGCCGTTAAGCCAATTATGTATCCAATTGGCAAGCTCCCCCTGAATCCCATGTGACCTAATCATACTAATAAGTCTACCATGTGGAACCTTTTCAAGTACTGCTTTGCCCTCATCAAATCTTTTTGGAAATTTCCTCAAAAAAACTCAATCAAGTTTGTGAAAAACGATTTTCCTCGCACAAAACCATGCTATCCCTAATCTTTTTTTTTGCCTCTCTAAATGTTTATAAATCTTTTAGAATCACCTCCAACAACTTGCCCATAACCGAAGTCAGACTCATAGGTCTACCATTCCCTGGTTTTTCCTGACAACCCTTCTTAAACAAAAGCTTGATATTAGCCACCCTTAAGTCATCAGGCAATCCCCCATAGTTATAGATGATGGAAATATTTCTGCAAGGGGCCCTGCAATTTTTTTTCTTCCTTCTGACAGTGTTCTGGGTACATTAGGTCCCAGAGATTCATCCAACTTCATATTCTTTAAGACGTTCCGAACTTCATCTTCTGCAATGTGAACTGTTTTTAAAACTTCAGAGTTTATTTCTCTGCATTCTTTCTCTACAGTAAAAACCAATGTGAACTATTAATTTAGTGTCTCTCCCATCTCCTGGGCTTCAACATGGACAACCTCCTTAATCTTTAAGAGGCCCCACCCTGTCTCTAGTTACGCTACTACTCTTAATGTATTTGTAAAATCTCTTTGGATTATCTTTAACCTTATCTGCAATTGCTATCTCCTATCCCTTCTTTGCCTTCCCAATTTCATTCTTAAGAATGCCCCTACACACTTTATATTGATTAAGAGATACGATTGAACCAAGTTGTCTATATCTAAAGTAAGATCCCATTTTTAAAAAAGTTTGAAACTTAATACCGCAATCTGTTACTGTATTAAGGGCTGTATCTGTAGTGACACATCATCCTTTCTTATGTGGAACATCCAGTGCTCATGGTTTGAGTAGCTGTTAACACTTCTAACAAAAACAAATAGCTCATGGTTATGTAGCACCTTAAACAAGGAAAACATCACAAGGCCCTCCACTGGAGAGATTACGAAATTAAATTTGACACGTTGGTAATGTTAGCGCAGCTGAGCATAGAGTTGCAGTGGTCAGACCACAGGAGGGTCTTTCAACTAGTCATATTCATGCTAGCTTTCTGCTGGAGCAGATCAGTCAGTCCAGCTCCTACATGTATCCCCCGCTTAGCCTGCAATTATTTTCTTCAGGTGCTTATCCAATTCCCTTGTGGAAGCTACAATTGAAGTTGCTTCTATCAGTGTCTGGGCAGAATAGACTACATTCAAACTGCTCACTGCTACGCATAGCTTACTTTGCATCACTGCCTATTTGTTTTATTATTGTCATTCACCTTAAATCAGTGCCCTCTTGTTCTCAACCGTTCGAATAGGAACAGGCTGTCTATCCACTTTGTCCAGACTCCTCATGATCCTCAACACCTATGTTAAATCTACTCCAAACCTTCTGTTCTAGGTGGAGATATTGTTCTCCAATCTCTCCATGTAACTGAATTCCTTCGTCTCTGGTGTCTTTCATGGCAATTTTTTCAGCACCCTGTCTAATGTCATCGCATCCTCCCTAAAGTATGATGCTGAGAACCTGATGCAATTCTCCAGCCGAGACCTTTATTTTAGAAAAAGTTCGTCACAACTTTCTTGCTTTTGTGCATTCCACCTCTTTAAGAGGCCTGGGCTGACACGTCTAATTCACAATCAACCAGACATACCACAAATAAGTGTATGCATATAGCCCCAGTTACCCCACTTCTGCCCTCACTTTTGAATGTATCATCCAGGTTAAATTGGCACTCTTTGTTATTCCTACTAAGCAGTTTCATGTCAAGCTTCTCCACATTAAACTTCATCTGCCACCTGACTACCTGTCTATGTCCACTTGAAGTCTATTGATATCCGCCCTAAGTTCACAATACTTCCAGGTTATGTGTCATCTGCAAGTGCATTCTGGATTGGTAGAGGTGTTGCCATGGAAAGTACACAAGTTAGATGATGACTGACAATTAACTAGCAAACTTGTTAGAATATAAACAAGGCAGTTGACTTTGGTCAAGGCATTATTCCAAGAAATGATTAGAATGGCTGAGAATTGCTGAGTTGAACAAGTGGAATGTGTATGAGTTATTTTAATCTGCAAGGTACAGGACCCTGTGTGATAATATAGCTAACTTCTAGGGTATGTGAGGACGCCACACTGTGAACCCAAATGACAATCCTAAATTCATTTTCAGCTTAATTCATGACACACTCAGGACTGTTTTGCAGAATCACATCGACTGGGGGACATTGGAGTTTTGAAAGCACAGGCTGGTTGGGTATGGTCAGTGCTTTGCTTGTTGCAAATTGTGAAACATTTCCATAAAAGCTATAGATCAGGAGGTGAGGGTAGAGAGGAACTTGGTGCAATTACAATCTCCAGGAAAGCATTGCTGATAAGACTGATGGAGCTACATGCTGATAGGCCCCCGGGCCCTGATGGACTTCCTCCTACAGTCTTAAGAGGTGAGTGATTAGGTTGAGGATGTATAGGGTCATAGAGTTGTACAGCACGGAAATAGACCCTTTGGTCCAACTCGTCTATGCTGACCAAATATACTAAATTAATCTCGTCCCATTTGCCAGCATTTGGCTCATATCCCTCTAAACCTTTTCTATTCATGTACTCATTCAGCTGCCTTTTAAATGTTGTAATTATACAAGTCTGCACCACATCCTCTGGCAGCTCATTCCATACGCGCACGACCCTCTGTGTGAAAAAGTTGCCCCTTGGGTCCTTTTTAAATCTTTCCTCTTGCCTTGCATCTATGCCCTATAGTTTTAGACTCCCCCACCTCGAGGAAAAGGAGCTTGTCATTTACTCTATTCATACCCCTCATGATTTTATAAGCCTCTATGAGGTCACCCCTCTGCCTCCGATGCTCCAGGGAAAATAGCCCCAGCCTGTTCAGCTTCTCCCTATAGCTCAAACCCTCCAACCCCAGCAATATCCTTGTAAATTTTTTTTGCACCTTTTCAAGTTTTGACAACATCTTCCCTGTAGTAGGGAGGCCAGAACTGCAGACAGTATTCCAAAAGTGGCCTAACCAATGTCCTGTACAGCCACAACATGACCTCCCAACTCCTATACTCAATGCACTGACCAATAAAGGCAAGCATACCAAACGCCTTCTTCACCACACTATCTATTTGTGACTCCAACTTCATTAACTATGAACTTCACCCCAAGGTTTGTATAATTTTTCAAAATTCCCTAGATTCTGGAAAGGGTCCATCTGAATGTAGTACCCCTCTATTCAAGAAGGGAGGAAATGATAGGTCAGTTAGCATGATATGTGTCGTGGGGAAGGTGTTAGAATTAATCATCAAAAATGTTATAGTTGTGCACTTAGAAAAACCAGAAGCTGGTTGATAGGGTGCTACGTTACCTGTTATTGAGTGAAGCAGGAGTTCATAGTACAGGGGGTAATATTAGTAGTGTGGTTAGAAGATCCAATTGCCAACCAATCAACACCCTCCTCTCATAGATTTTTTTTTTTCTCCTTTACATTAGCATTTCCTGCGTTCTGAAGACAGTTCCGAGTAAGGGTCATTGGCCCAGAAACGTTAACTCTAACTTCTCTCCACAGATGCTGCCAGATCTGCTGAGATCTTCCAGCAATTTCTGTTTTTGTTGTGAATTATCCTGATGAGTTCAAGATGCGAAGCTTGGACATTTTATGTTTTGGTAGTACCACACTTCGTGCATTTACAAACATGCACTGAGTATATAACTGAGGCATTACTGCACTTCCCTCTTTTCTGACCCTTCCTGGTATTGTTTACTATTTGTCTTGTTAAATCTTTTCTACACCTTGCCTGTCCTTCTAGTTCCCATCTCCTACTAAGTTAGTTTAAACTGTCACAGAAAAGGGAATGGAGGTGAATTTAAAGGATGATTGCTTTCCCCTCTTAAGCTTGAGACTCCTTTCCCTTTTTGTGCCTGTTGCTTGCTGAGTTAGGCTGAAGGGTGTTCCCCAAACACTGCTGTCCAGGTTGCAATTTTTGAAGTAAATAGACTGGGGAACAGCCCCACTGCCACCGTCTAGAAGAGAAGTTTTAACTTAGTCATGAGAAGTCTAGACAGAGCAGAATCCTTTAAGATGAAATCTAGGGTAGAATTGATTAACAGATGTTCAAAATGAAGGGAGTTGCTTTGCTATTTCGTTCATCTACAAAAGCATACCAGGTAGGAAGAAACAGGAGGGAAGAAAGGAAGTTAATGGAATTTCTACAGTGTGGGAGCAAGCCATTCGGCCCATCGGGTCCCCACTAACTCTCCGAAGAGCATCTCACCCCAAATCCCCCACCCACCCAATCTATCCCTGTAACCCTGCATTTCCCATGGCTAATTCACCTAGCCCGCACATCCCTGGACACTATGGAGCAATTTAGCATGGCCAATCCACCCTAACCTGCACATCTTTGGACAGTGGGAGGAAACCAGAGCACTCGGGGGAAGCCCCCAAACAGACACAGGGAGAATGTATAAACTCCACACAGACAGTCACTGGAGAGTAGAATTGAACCGGGGTCTGTGGTGATGTGAGGGAGCAGTGCTAACTACTGTGCCACTTTGCCAAACAAGTTGCAACTTATGAATTTTGAAAAAGAAAATCAAAGATGTTAGCATTAATTTATGTGACTTAGAATCCAGTGGATTTCAGAATGAACTTGCTGGAGAGGTACAGATGCACACTTTCCATCCAGTGCCCCGATCTGGGCCTTGGCTTTCAGAGCAGATTCCAGGGGAAAGTTTGGGATCTTCCTTAACATGAGGATTGTGTAGCCCCATTGCCAATGATTAAAACAATAGACCTGCTTGCTTCAGGGAGGGGCATGGGGACACTGTTCCTGTGAAGCCTAAACTTGAGCTTCCTGGGAATTTACCTGGCTTGGCCACGCACTGGGAAAGTTCTCCCGAGTCAGAGGGATATGCAGCAGGGGTTTCTGCTTGAGTCATCTCTCTCCGGAATGATCCAGTGGATCATTATACCCTTAATTCCAGATTTTTAATGTATTCAAATTCCATCATCAGCTTTGGTGGGGGTTGAACCTGGGTCCTCAGAACATTACTTGGGTTGCTGGGTTCATAGGTAGCAATGATAACATGAGGCCATTGCCTCCCCTGGAGGTCCTTCTGAATAGTAAGTAACACTCGTCATGTGAAATGGTGGTGCTGGAGATCACAGTGTTAGTATTGGCCATGTTGTACTCCATTTCGGGCCTAGTCCGTGTTAAGTGTTCACCACGTTGCCAGTGAAGTGCTTGGAATTGATTTTCAGATGCAGCAACGAATTTGATTGTTATCATTTAACTCCGCTTCCTCCACTAAACAAAGTGCTCAGCACTGCAATCAGACAAATAACATAACAGAAAATAAAATTCACGAGGCCACAAGCAAACCAAGCTAACAATGGCATTTTATGCCGAAAAGCCTTCTGCCAGAGGTTTGTGTCCTTATGAAAAGTTTAAGACTTCAGCAGAGGATCTGAAAAAACAGGTTATGATTTGTTGGCTGTATCTTTCTGGTATTCGCCACCCTGCTCTCTGCCCAGTTGACAGAATGCCCGAGCGTGGCAGAACCTGTTGTTTGTGAGATGTTCTTCCTTTTGTAGAAACAGCACTTCCTACATTGTTGCTATCCTCATAAAATGCCCTGAGCCGGAGACTTCCTGCTGGTCAGACTTGGCGTTGGGAAATGAGGCAAACCTACTATCTCAATGGGAAATGATTGGAATGACCGCACTTCATTTTATTTCTGTTGGATGGCATGGAGACAAAATGTGGCTTGTGTTGAGTGTGGCCTCTGTCTTTCTGGATAAACTTAAAGGCTGTTTGTGCTACATGGACTGTGGTCTCATACACAAGGTGGGTTCAGCTGCTCAACCAGGCGGTAATAAAACAAGAAAAAACTGTGATTGTTGGAAATCGAGAGAGACTAAGCAGGGTCTAACAGCATCTGCACAGGGAAAAATGTATTTTGAGTCCAATGAATTGCTGCATGTGAAAAGATCAACGTTCACCCTGTGTCCTCTTGGTAATTGCATGATACAGCAGTCACGGAGTTGCTGAATTGATGGGGTATTTGGAAGGAAACTATTTCCTCTGGTTGCAGCATCCCAGAGCAAGAGGGCAGGCCCTTGAAAAGGGAATCCGGACATTATGGGGGGGTGAAGGCTGGAAATATGGCTTCACAGAAATGATCGCAAAAGATCCCCCAAAACGCCACTGAGAGGGTGAGCTGAAAGCTTCGGCTGATTGAGGTTTGTGAGGTAAGGGTATTGAGGGTCATTGAGTTAAGATGCTGGTTGGTCATGAGGCAATTGATGGAGTCATCTTGGGCCAATCAGCTTCTCCTGTTTCTGTGAAGCCATGTGACATATCCCCCTGCAACAGTGGCACAATTAGGCAGCCAGTGTTTCTGTGAGGAAATTGTGGGCCCTAGAAAAGCCAATGGTGTACAAAAGCAGTAATAACAAAGTACGACCCTGGTGAAATCTGGAGAGGAACTGAATGTCTGTCTGCCAGCGGTTGTGTCAAAGGATCAGAGTGAAACGGTGCTGCTCTGCTCAGATCGCCTGCCACACTGTCTCCTGTCTTTTGTCACTGCAGGGATGAGCACGAGGATTTCAAAGAGGAAATGAGGCGACTCAGAAAGTTGCGAGGCAAAGGGAAGCCGAAGAAAGGAGAGGGCAAGCGAGCCCTGAAGAAGAAATAGAGGTGGATCGGATCCGGCTGCAGACGCACCCTCTGACTGGTCAGCTACATCTGGCTGCCTCTCCCTAACTGCCCCTTTCTGTCAGAGTACTTTTATTTTAAAATAAATGTGAAACGTGTCTTTGTCATGTTTCTGCCCTTCTACCTTTCCCTTTCTCTTTCCCTACCCCTATCCTCTCTCCTCACATTACACGTGCTGTTCTATATTCTAAATGAAGCAGAGTTCTGGACCAAGCCTTGGATTCAGGGGAGCAAGTCAAGCCAAGCTAAGCTACTCAATCACACCCCCCTCCCCAGTTCCTGATTATGCGTTGGGTGCAGGTATTAACCCATGGAGAGTGGAAGCTGCCAAGTAGTATGCCAGGTTAGTTGATGTGCCCCCAGTTAACTTGGCTTCATTCAAGATACCATGACTAATGAGGGCACTCTTACCTTGGGACTGGGATGGGCACAAATCTGTCAGAGATCATTTCCTTGATTGCCAACCAGTGGCCAATATTGGGTAGAGACAGAATTAGCAGGAGCTCTAATCCCTGCCTATGATGGAATTGTCCAGGAGTGTTCACTGTCCATACTCCCTTGGTGGTGAGTGATTATTAAGATGAGGCAGTGGATGGATGGCACTGCCTGTGAAAGCAAACCTACGGACTGTTTTGGGAGAGGTGAAAGGCAACTGAAACAGGCAGCTCGAAGCCCGTGCCAAGAGCAGCAGTTGATCACAGTGTCTGCCTGAGGTGTGGAGTGCAGGGAGTAACAAAAATGAAAGCTGTGTCTTGTTTCCTGAGGAAGCACAAACCAACTGCACCACAGCCATTTCAGCTCTGATCTGGTTCTCCTGCTCAATGTAAAACAAAACTCGCCTTCTCCTTTTCTCTTATCAATGTCATTATTTGTGCTTTTTTCCCCTCAATCACTCACTCACCCTCGTCATGTTCTTCCTGTTAATGTAGCATAGCTCATCCAATTATGTCACAATATGATAATAGGGAAAGCAGAAGTGACCAATCCCAAGAACTAGAACAAGGATTGAGCCCTTCCCTTTGGTGTAAGTAAGAACCACAGTCCAACCAGTTGAGCTGATAGCAGCCCATAGTAAGGGCGTGGAATGCCCTGCCTGCAAAAATAGTAGACTCGCCCACTTTAAAGGGCATTTAAATGGTCATTGGATAAACATATGGATGATAATGGAATAGTTTAGGTTAGATGGGCTTCAGATTGGTTTCACAGGTCGGCGCAACATCGAGGGCCGAAGGGCCTGTACTGCGCTGTAATGTTCTATGTTCTATGTTCTATATGCCCCTTCAATGTCAGGTGCCTAAGAGAGAGAGGGGTATTGTGTACTCATTTGGAAGCCGTGCTTTTGTTTCTTCTGATGAATTGATGGAGTACTAGGCAGCTTGTGAACCAATAATTGGGTTGAATTGGAAGGTTCAACTACCTCAAATCACTGAGTGTTAGGACTGCGTGTGTGAGTGGGGGTGTGAGTGGGGTTAGCTGATGAACTCTTGCCCATTGTGATTACAGCACAGTGACCTGACCTGAATTGGTGGCTGCCCTCAGTACAAATGCATTGTAATAAATTCTGCACTGTAATAAATGCTGAATTGTCTTTACAATCTGTCGGTTGTAAGCTGAATAAAGTGTGGTAAAATCTCAGAATAGGTGAACGCCCAAGTGACGTGACCTTTAAGCGGAGTATGTTTCCATAGTTACCAGCAGATCTTTGCTCAAGTAAACATTCTTGGCCTTTAAGCCTAAACCAAGTGTTGGCCTATTCAATCATGGCCGACATCTCAACCAAACCCAGCCCTTCCTCAACGTCTCCTTCCAGCAGACGACTCTTAAGTTCAGGAACAACTTCGCTTATTTGTCCCTCGGCCACCCCTTCCAACCTCAGCTGTTCAGGTAAGGGTCAAACGTACTGTCGTGGCTGCTGCCCCAAGTGAACTCAATCGTCTGGGGCCTGACCAGGATTCGAAGGCAGACCATCTGCTCTGAAAGGCCTGACTGGGGTTGGGGGGAGGGTGGAGTCTGTAATGACTGCACTAACCCACTGGTTGTCTGATGAGCACCAGTCTGTCCGTTTTATTGTCTTTACTTGAATAATAAATTAATACCTCCAAGAGTTTCTATGAGACAGTTTCTTTGCTTCACCTATCACCTCATCCTCGTGAGCCTTGGACCCTGAATCAAGGAACTGGGCTGGATAAATTATGCACAAGAATGAGTTGTCCCTTGGACCATTACTGCCATTTAGAAATCACAACTAATCTGCGATTATAAGTGAAAGGAGAGGGGCAAAAATGATGATCATCAGCCTATCTACAGTAACCTCAAGTGCTGTCACCTCAACTACTTTTTCCAATGAACTACAATGGAAGCTGCAGCCAATTTAGTTAAAACTGGGAACGTTCTCTTCCCAATTACGCATGCTGCTGGAGGGACATTGTTCATGATTGCTTCAAGCTATTGTTAACACACCGAAGAATTTATCTAGTTCCATTTAATTACTTTGACCTTTATTGTCTTCTTATTTATGACTTCTGTCATTAATTTAGGCATTGTGGTATGGTGACTTATAAAACTCTCCAATTTTTTTGTGTAAATTACACATGACAATAAATTTCTATTCCACTTCATGCTCCCCAGGCCAACTCCAGTGGATATGCTAATGTAATGATTGTTATTGGACGAAGAGACTAAGAGTTTAAACCTTGACATGTCAGTTCAGCAATTCAGATTCTGAAAGGAAAAAGCTGAAAATCAAAAGCAGGCTTCAGATTTTGTTTACAAAGTCAAATGGTTCACTGATTCCCCTCAGGGAAAGAAACTTGCTGATTGAACCCAGTCTTGTCCAGCCCCACACCATTACCATGTTGCCTCTTAATTACCCTCTAAATTCACCGTGCAAACAGTTCAGTTGTATCAATCTGCTACCTCTTTGGGGCCGTTAAAGACAGCTACTAACCCTAACCCTGAGATATTTCACATGTCTTTCTGGCAGATACCCCAGATCCACTTTTTCCCAAGTCAGTAATATCACGCAGCCTGCCCACAGAGCCCATGGTGAAGGATATTGAGTGGGGAAGGTAATGATGTGATGGTAATGTCACTAACCTGAGACCCACGCTAATGTTTTGGGAACATGCGCTCAAATCCCAAGATGAAATTTAAAATATGTTTAATTTTAAAATTATTTGAAATTTAAGGCTAGGTTCAACAAGCACCATGAAAGTATTGTTGATAGTAAACCAGATTGGTTATTATTACCTGTCCTTTATGTTGGCTGTCGCTGACAGACAACAGTATATACATATACAAAGGTATAGCAGAGACACTTCGAGTTTGATTTGATATGTTGTCACGTACTTAAGTACAGTGAAAAGTTTTGTTTTGTGTGCAGTACAGGCAGATCATAGCATACAAGAATGTACAGATCATAGGATGTTTGGACAGAGCAAGGCATACAGGAGGTGCACGAAAGCAAGATCAACAGTAGATTTGAAATTAGATAGGTCCATTCGGCAGTCTTACTAACAGCAGGGGAGAAGCTGTTCTTCAACCTGTTGGTACGTGTGTTTAAGCTTCTGTATCTTCTGTCTGACGGAAGAGAGTATTACTGGGGTGGGTGGGATCTTTGATGATGTTAGCAGCCTTTCCATGGCAACGAGAAGTGTAGACAGAGTCCATGGATGGGAGGTTGGCTTGCATGATCAGGGCTGTGCACACAACTTTCTGTAGTTTCTTACAGTCCTGGGCAGAGCAGTTGCCGTACCAAGACATGATATACCCAGACAGAATGCTTTCTATAGTGCATCTGTAAATGTTGGTGGGATTCCTTATGAACATGCCAAATTTCCTAAGCCTCCTGAGGAAGAAAACATGGCGTTGTGCCTTCTTGACCCCATGATATGAAATCTATAAGACTCAATTAATTTATTAAGTGCTTAAATGAATAACACATGCTTTTAACCACCTGAGATATCTCAATTACTGTCTTCCACTACCCTGGGTTCTGTAACTAGCGGCAAATATTATTACCCAGAGAGTTGGCAGCTGGCCAGGCTGGAACTCTTCTCAACGTCTTCACCATGCCTCCTGACGTAGGGTACCTCTTGCAGAGTTATTCTTTGAAGTCCTGCTGAAAATCCAGGATTTTCTTGGGTTGCTTTATACATAGGTTTCCAGGCCAAGTATGTGCCTTATTTAGAATTGTCCGCGCATGTGACCTATCCTGAATGTGTGTCTTATTTGGGTAGAGACAGCAGTTATTAATTCCCTGCAATCTTAGCTCTTAGCACACCTCAATGATCTAGAGTAATTCACATGTTGTAAAGCCCCTTATCAGTTCCTGTTATCTTCAGCCTTATCCAACATTTAGGGAAGGAAATCTGCTGTCTTTACCTGGTCTGGCCTACATTTAATTGTTTTGGTGCAGACTCAATGGGCTGAAGGGCCTGTTCTATGTTGTATGATTCTATGATATGAAATCTTGTTCAGGGATGGTGAGCCACTGCTACAGTTCGGGAGCTTTGATTGTTTGGTGCTGTAACAGGATCCTGGTGGGTAGCAATAGTCCACTGCTACTATCACCAATTCACCAAAGATCCTCAGACAGCACCATTCAAACCCATGACCACTTCCATCTAGAATGACAAGGGCAGCAGATCCAATGGGAACACGATCGCCTTCAAGTTCCCCTCCAAGCCACTCAGTCAACCCACAGCAGGTGGACTGCAGCGGTTCAAGAAGGCAGCTCACCGCCACCTTCTCAAGGGGCAACTAGGGATGGGGAAGAAATGCTGACCCAGCCAGTGACACCCACATCCCATAAATGAATGAAAAAATGTTTCTTAATGCTCCCCAGTTGACTGCAGCTGCATTGCTGAGGGTGGGGATTTCATGTGGAATAATAATTTTCTTCCCAAAAAAGTATTCACCTTGGTAATGTTGATCATTGTGCCCTTTTCACTGCAAAGTCACCTTGCACTGCCCAACGTGTCAACCAGTGGTACCTAGCAAATGAAACAACATGTGCCTGTTGCCATGTGAATCTGGATACATGTGTCCTTGCTTGTGATTTGCCATTTGCAGATGAAGGAAAGCACTGGTGAGAGGACAGACATGATTAATTCAGCAATTTTACTCACAGCATGTGAGTGCACGGATTTACAATTATAATCAGATTTACTTAAGTTCAATAAATGAAACCCATCTCCTCTTAATACAAAATAATGAACACTATGCTTCCCCATAGTCATTTTTGTGCCTGTATTCTATCTGTACGAGTACCCTTTTTTATATAGCAGTCACCCTCTGAATTGACCTTTGTCTGTGACAATGCAATGTCTATTTTCAGCACAAGAAAGACACCCAGCTCCTGAAAACTATAATTAATCCCTATGTGTGCTGTTTCCAGTAATAGGGTTTATACAAGTTTTTAAAAATTCTGCACCAACCAAACAGCTGATTTCTATCAAAGACAGGTCTCTGGCATTACTGGAGAGGAGGAGAGAGAAAAAAAGCTAGAAGACAAACTATATATTTATTCCCAATCTAACTGTTTTCAGCGTGAGCTAAAAGAACAGCAGCAATTTGTCTCTCTTGGAACGAAAAGACTTTAGCTGAGGTTATCATGTATAAGAGTGAAAAGATTATCTACAATAGTAAAATGCTGAGCTTCACATCCTTTCGCACCCCATTTTCATCAGTTCCTGCAAAGAACCTTCCACCATGGGCAGGTCAGGCGAAGAGGGTGCATGGAATTTCTGGCAGACAGGTCCCTGTAATAATTTACCCTCCTAAACTACAGGATGCGGATTAACAGCCTGTTGGTTATCGATCAGGGTTGTGCACCATCAAGACTAGGAACAGGCCCCTTAAATTTCACCCACAATATAATGAGATCATATGGGACTAGTTTAGTTTGGGATTATGTTCAGTGTGGACACTGGTTGGACCGAAGGGTCTCTTTCTGTGCTGTATGACTCAACGGCTGATCCGCTAACTTAACTACCATCCTCCTGAATCCCTTATTATCCTTGGTTAGCAAACTCCACCAATCTCAGTTTTGAAAGCAAAAAATTAATCTTGCATCAGCAGCCGTTAGTGACAGGGTGTTCCAAACTCATATCACCAAATTTCTGTTAAAAGCATTTCGTGATTTCATTCCTAAAAGGTCCGACTCTCATTTTTAGACCATTTCCCCAGGCCTGTACTTCCCCAAGTGGAAATAGTTTTAATCCATCTGTCTGTTCCCCTTAATATCTTTAAATCTTTGATGAAATTAAGCTATAAGACCATAAAACATAAGAGCAGAAATTAGACCATTCAGCCCATCAAGTTTGCTCTGCTATTCAATCCTGGCTGATAAGTTTCTCAAACCCATTCTCCTGCCTTCTCCTGTAACATTTGATCCCCTAGACAATCAAGAACCTATCTATCTCTATCTTAAATATACTCAATGACCTGGCCTCCACAGCTTTCTGTGGCAATGAATTCCATAGATTGACCACTCTCTGGCTGAAGAAGTTTCTCCTTATCTCTGTTCTAAAGGGTCTTCCCTTTACTCTAAGGCTGTGCCTTTGGGTCCTAGTCTGTCCTACCAATGGAAGCATCTTCCCGACATCCACTCTATCCAGGCCATTCAGTATTCT